TCTCCCTCTCCCATTCCCCCTGCTTGTGTTCCCTCTGTCGCTGTGTCTCTCTCTGTCAAGTAAAAATATAAAATCTTTAAAAAAGAAAAAACCCAAAGACTCCACCAAAAAGCTGCTAGAACAGATAAATAAATTCAGTAAAGTTGTAGGATACAAAATTAATGTACAGAAATCTGTTTCATTTCTGTACACCAGCAATGAAGCAGCAGAAAGAGAAATTAAGAAAGTAATCCCATTTACAGTTGCACCAAAAATAATAAGATACCTAGGAACAAACCTAACCAAAGGGGTGAAAGATCTGTACTCTGAAAACTGTAAAACACTAATGACAGAAATTGAAGATGATACAAAGAAATGGAAAGACATTCCATACTCATGGATTGGAAGAACAAATATTGTTAGAATGTCTATACTACCAAAGCAATCTACACATTTAATGCAGTCCCTATCAAAATACCAATAGCATTTTTCATAGAGCTAGAACAAACAGCCCTAAGCTTTGTATGGAACCACAAAAGGCCCTGAATAGCCATAGCAATGTTGAAAAAGAAAAGCAAAGCTGAAGGCATCACAATTCTGGACTTCAAGTTATATTACAAAGCAGTAGTAATCAAAAGGGTATGTACTGGCAAAAAAAAAGACACATGGATCAATGGAACCAAATAGAAAAATCCAGAAATGAACCCACAATTATATGGTCAATTAATCTTTGACAAAGCAGGAAAGAATATCCAGTGGGAAAGAGTGTCTCTTCAACAAATGGTGTTGGGAAAACTGGACAGCAACATGGAAAATAATGAAAATGGACCACTTTCTTACACCAATCACAAAAGTAAATTCAAAATGGATTAAGGACCTAAGTGTGAGACCTAACACCATAAACATCCCAGAAAAGAACACAGACAGCAGTAAGTTCTCGGATACCAAATATAGGAACATTTTTCTAGATAAGTGCCCTGAGGCAAGGGAAACAAAAGCCAAAATAAACTGTTAGGACTACATCAAAATTAAAGGCTCTGTACAGCAAAGGAAATTATTATTATTTTTTAAAGATTTTATTTATTTACTTGACAGAGAGATCACAAGCAGGCAGAGAGGCAGGCAGAGAGAGAGAGGGAAGCAGGCTCCCTGCGGAGCAGAGAGCCTGATGTGGGGCTCGATCCCAGGACCCTGAGATCATGACCTGAGCCTAAGGCAGAGGCTTTAACCCACTGAGCCACCCAGGCGCCCCAGCAAAGGAAATTATTAACAAAACTAAAAGGCAACCCATTGAATGGGAGAAGGTACTTGCAAATGAAATATCCAGTAAAGGGTTAGTATCCAAATATTTGAAGAACTTGTAAAACTCAACACCCCAAAAACAAATAATCCAATTAAAGAAAGGGTAGAAGACATGAATGGACATTTCTGCAAAGACATCCAGATGGCCCACAGACACATGAAAGGATGCTTAACATCACTCATCATCAGGAAAATGCAAACCAAAACCACTATGAGATATCACCTCATACCTGTCCGAATGGCTAAAATCAACAACACAAGAAACAACAGGTGTTGGCAAGGATGTGGCACTGTTGGTGAGAATGAAAACTGGTACAGCCACTGTGGAAAACAGTATGAGTTAACTTCCTCAAAAAATTAAAAAAAAAACCTACCCTGTGATCCAGCAGTCTCACGACTACAAAAAAGAATACAAAAATGCTAATTCAAAGGGATACAGGAACCACTATGTTTAGGCAGTATTATTTATGATAGCTAAGATATGGAAGCAGCCCAAGTGCCCATCTATTGATGAATGGATAAATAAGATGTGGAATATGTATATTATATGAATACATATTAATATAACTGTATGTATTCATATATGATTATATATAATATGAATGTTATGCTCCTATAGAAAAGAATGAAATCTTGCCATTTGCAATCACTTGGATGGAGCCAGAGAGTATAATGCTGAGTGATATAAGTCAGTCAGAGAAAGAAAAATACTATATGATTTCCTTCATGTGGGATTTAAGAAACAAATGAGCAAAGGGAAAAAGAGAGAGACAAACCAAGAGACAGACTCTTAACTACAGAGAACAAACTGATGGTCACCAGAAGGGAGGCTGGTGGGGGGATGGGGAAATAGGTGATGGGGATTAGGAGTGCACTTGTTGTGATGAGGACCTGGTGATTATAATAAAACTTAAAAAAAAAATGTGACCATGTGTGGTAAGTGATGTTAGCTAAACATAATGTGGTGATCATATCATGTCACAATATATACAAATACCAAATCATTATGTTATATGTCAGTTATATCCCAATAAAATATAAACAAGAAAAAAAAACAAAATGAACAGTGAACAGTTCAGTGATTTTATTTTTTTTTTAAAGATTTTATTTACTTATTTGACAGAGAGATAATAAGTAGGCAGAGAGGCAGGCAGAGAGAGAGAGGGAAGCAGGCTTCCCACTGAGCAGAGAGCCCGGTGCAGGGCTCCATCCCAGGACCCTGAGATCATGACCCAAACCTAAGGCAGAGGCTTAACCTACTGAGCCACCCAGGTTCCCCAGTTCAGTGATTTTAAATCTATTCATAGACATCTGCAACCGTCCTTACAATCAGTTTTAGAAAATTTTCATGACTCCCAAAAGAGATCTCATACCCATTAGCAGTCACTTCCGATTTCCTCCGACCCCTTCAGCCCAGGCAACTACCAGTTTACTTTCCATCTCTGTGGATTTGCCTATTCTGAATATGTCATATAAATAGAGTCACACACTATGTGGTCCTTTATGAGTGTCTCCTTTCACTTAGCATAATGTTTTCAAGGTTCGTCCATATTGTAGCACTTCATTCCTTTTTATTGCCAAATTAACATTCTATTGATGGATATGCTGCTGCTGTGTTTCTGTCATCAGTTGATGGCCCTTTGGGTTGTTTCCACTTCGTGCTATTATGAATAATGTTGCTATGAACATTCATGTATAAGCTTTTGTGTGGACATATATTTTCTTTTTTTAAAAATATTTATTTATTTGACAGATGGAGATCACAAGTAGGCAGAGAGGCAGGCAGAGAGAGAGGAGGAAGCAGGCTCCCTGCTGAGCAGAGAGCCCGATGTGGGCTTGATTCCAGGACCCTAGGATCATGACCTGAGCCGAAGGCAGAGGCTTTAACCCACTGAGCCACCCAGGCTCCCCTGGACATATATTTTCACTTGAGATTAATTTTTTAACTGGCCTTTGTCTTATCCGTGGGTGTCCCTGAGCAAAGCTAATATCAGTGTATTTCTGAACTGTGTAAAAATAGGTCATAGTTGTCCCTTCTCTGAGATGGCTGACTGTGGGAAGGAAATGGTTTGGAGGAAAAAACCACACTGCTTGTTGCTAAGTCTACTTGTAAATTCATGATTTAGATATGGGGGGCAACTTTATCCTATAAAGAGAGAAGGAATTTAGTTTTGCTGTTGGGCAAATGATTCTTCCCTAGCCTGATATTACCAAATGTAAATTTGAGTACCATACTTCTCTTACAACACACGACACACTTTATTTTATGTCTGTGTTCTAGCCCTAGATATGCTTCATAAACAAGAAACAAAACAAGAAAGACTAAAACAAACAAACAAAAACCAAGAAAGACTACCACAGACTCTTCCTCAAATTCACATAAATGTGAGGATAAAATGAGAAAATAGTTTTTAATCAGTTAGTTTTAAATTTTTTATAAAAGGTGCTTCATAAATCCAAGGTAATAGCATTTCCAACATTCCCAACTCTAGTTAACTAGCCTAGAGATGAACAAAATGCTGGAAAACAAAAAAGTAACTGATATAGAGAACAATAGATTATTGAATTTTTTAAGTTGCAGTGAACTATACATAAAATTTACCGTTTTAGCCATTTTTAAATGTACAGTTCAGTGACATTAAGTACATTCATATTGTTATGCAACTTTCACCACAATCCATCTCCAGAATTTTCATCTTCCCATAATAAATCTCTGTATCACTAAATAATAGCTCCCCATTCTTCTGTCCCCTGCTTCCCTGGTAACCACTATTCTACAAAATTTCTGTCTCTGTGAATTTGACTACTCTAGATTTCTCATATAAGTGGAATCATACAATATTTGTACTTTTTTTTTTTTAAATATTTGCTCTTTTGCAACTGGCTTATTTCACTTAGCATAAGATCCTTCAAGGTTCATCCATGTTGTAGCCTATATCAGAATCCCATTTCTTTTTAAAGCTGAGTAATATTCCATTGTATGTATATACCACCATTTGCTTATCTGTTCATCGGTTGATAGCTATTTGGGTCATTTTCACCTTTTGGATATTGTGAATACTGCTGCTGTGAACATTGGTATATAGGTATCTGTTTGAGTATGCTTTAAGTTCTCTTGGTATATACCCAGAAGTGGAATTGTGAGATCATGTGGTAATTCTATATTTAAATATTTTGGGAACTACCATACTGTGTTCCACAGTGCTTGCACCATTTTACATTGTCACCAGCAATGCACAGGTTGCATTGAGGAAGGGTTCCAATTTCTCTACATCCTTGCCAATACTTATTTTCATTTTTTTGATAATAGACATCCCAAAGCTTAGGAAATCGTATCTCATTGTGATTTTGACTTGCATTTCCCTAAAGATGAGTGCTGTTGAGCATCTTTTCTGGCACTTATTGGCCATTTATATGTTTTCTTTGAAGAAATGTCTGTTCATATCCTTTACCCATTTCTGGGTAAACGGTTATTTGTTTTGTTGTTTGTTTTGTTGTTGTTGAGTGTGTTTTAGGAGTGCTTTTCTATTCTGGATATTAAGCCTTTATGGAAAGGGAAAACAAGGGATAGATCTAAGTGAGAATATGAAGAAAGAATTGTCTTAAGTCAGAATAGCTGGACTGTTTTAAGCAAGAAAGTTGAAATTATATTTGGTTCAACAATTTATTTTTTTTAAAACCAGTGTTGGCAGTTTTTGACAGTTCTTCCTTTCTGCCAGGTATCTCAGGTAGTTTGAACTTCGATGAAGAGGAGACCGATGGGGAGGAAGAAGGGAAAAAATTATGTCATTCACCATATTCGGAGGCAGAGAGACCCAATTCTGCATCCAGCCAGAAATCAACTACAGTATGTAGTTCAGAAATTTCTTCCTGGGCAACTAATTTAACTATTTCCCAAATGTATCTCTAGAATTTAAACACAATTACTGAATGAGGATTCCTTCAAAGATTGAAGCTCAAATTTAGACTTGAAGTTCATGACCTCCCTAATTTCTTGTGTCTCAAGCCAGCTCGTGTGAAGTCCTATCCCACTTTTGTACTTAGCTCCTTCATTACTCCCAATAGCCACATACTTATTTAACTTCACAGAGTTTCCCCTTATTTCTTCAGAAAACTAGATACACTGGGGTATATCATGAAATTATTTTGCCCATTAATTGTTCCTGGAAGAGAATAAGAAGTTTTGTGATCCCACCTCCTCTTGCTCATGTGTATGGCTCTTCTTCTAGGATACGGGAGCTTCGGGAACTGCAGCCCAACAAACGGAAAACCAGCTGGGGGAAGTGGAGAACTTAGAGGACTTTGCATATAGTCCTGCCCCTCGGGGTATTACAGTCAAGTGTCGGATAACCAGGGATAAAAAAGGAATGGATCGGGGTCTCTTCCCCACTTACTATATGCACTTGGAAAAGGACGAAAATCGGAAGGTATGAGAATTAACTCTTAAGACAGATGTTGAGAAAGAGAGGAAGAATGTTGTGGGCACAGATTGTTGAAGGGTTATAGGTTAGGAGAATAGCACTGGTTTCAGATCAAGTCAGCAACTCCCAGTAGCTGTGTTCTGTCTTCAAAGACCTCAGAGTCTCAGAGGTAAAATCTGCCCCACCCCAAAGAAAAAGAGTTTTATCCAGAATATAAGAAAATGGAAGAGAATATCTGAATGTAATTATTTGCCCCTCTATCCTATTTTTTGGTGGGGGGAAGGTGTTACTGTGTGCTCTTTGGTTTTTATTTTAGTTATGGTAGGAACATGACACTGTGTAAGTTTTAGGGAATAGGAGGAACTGGAAATAGAGAAGGACATGCAACCGGAATGCCTTATTTCTCACTCTAGAAATTCTAATTTACTTCAAACACAAATTTGAGGCAATTTAATACTTGCCAACGAACATTGTATTTTATTTTGCTACCAGGTCTAAGTGGATGATTTAAGAACATGGAAATGAGATGATGATTGATACCATTGTTATTATAAGTGCTAATTTATTAAGTGTTTATGATGTAGCAGGCATGTGCTAAATGCTTCGTGTATATATTATCTCCTGTAATCCTTACCACAACCTTGTAAGATAGGCCTTCTTATCCCTGCTTTATAGATAAGTAACTGGGGCTTAGAGAATGTCCTGTTTCTCCTGAAGTTGGAAAGACCCTTCCTCACCAAATTAGATGAAGTTTTTTTGAAAAAGCCACTGAAGGTTTTGGGGATAAAGCTGCACATAGTTGCAGTAGCCCCCCGCCCCCAATTTTTTGCTTTCTATGCTTTTAGTCACCTGTAGTCACTGACATCTGGAAGCAGATGGGTCCTTCTTCTGACATAGGTTCAGCAGGTCGATAGTAGCCTAATGCCCCCTCTCTTCAGTCTCATCACATAGGCATTTTATCATCTCACATTAGCACAAGAAGAAGGGGAGTACAGCACAGTGAGATATTTTGAGATGGAAAGACCACATTCATAGAACTTTTATTACAGTATATTGTTAGAATTATTCTGTTATTGTTGCTAATCTCTTGCTATGCCTTATGCATAAATTAAACTTTGTCATATGTACATACAGAAAAAAACATTGTAGTGTTCAGTAGGCATCCACCAGGGGTTGGTGGATAAAGGGGTCTATTGTATGTGGAGAATCCAGCTAATTTTGGAAAGATGTACAGTAGGGAAACCCTGATAGTGAATTCTGAGAGGCATTATAAGGGTGAGAAAAGGAGATAAAGCCCCCAAGGTTGGTCTTCTCCAAGAAAACACCAAATGGCAGATGACACTCGTGCCTCTGGGATGGGAGGCCACACGGCCTCCGCAGCTGTCAAGGCCAAGGAGCTCATAGCAGCAAGACCAAGGATGAAGAGTGGATGTCTCTACCAGCCTAGGTTGTCTGGCCAAGCACATGAAGTTCAGGCCCCTGGAGGAGACCTATCTCTTCCATCTGCCCATCAAGGAATCAGATCACTGAGGTTTTCCTGGGATCGTCCTTCAAGGATGTGGTTTTGAAGATCATGCCCATGCAAAAGCAGACCCATCCTGGCAGGCAGACCAGGTTCAAGGCATCTGTTGCCATCAGGGATTACAGCAGACACACTGGTCGGTGTTCAATGTTCCAATGAGGTAGCCCCTGACATCCGTGGGACCATCATTCTGGCCAAGTTCTCTAGTCGCAGTGCAGCGAGGCCTCTGGGAGTACGAGATCAGCAAGCCCCACACCATTCCGTGTAAGGTGACTGGACGCGGCAGCTCTGTGCTGGTGCATCCCACCCGTGGCTCCAGGGCCCTGGCATCATGTGCGCTGCTCTGTCTCCACGGAGGGTTGCCTAGTCACCCCGGGCAACTTCGCCAAGGCCACTTTGGATGCATCTGCAAGACCGAAAGCTGTCTAATCCTGAGCTCTGGAAAGAAACCATGTTCATGTTCACCAAGGCCCCCTCTCAGGAATTCACTGACCGTCTTGTAAAGACCCACACCAGAGGTTCTGTGCAGAAGACCCAGGCTCCAGCTATGGCCACCATGTAGTTTGTACACAAGAAAAATGAAGGCGAATTAAGCCTGTTAAAAACAAAAAAAACCCAAAAGAGTGACTGTTTGGTACCTGATAGGCACTTGCTAAACATTTGTTAAGTGAATAGTTAGACTGTGGTGGTTCTTTCAGTATTCTTGAGTGACACTTTTTTCTTTTTCCAGATATTTCTTCTTGCAGGTAGAAAGCGGAAAAAGAGCAAAACATCCAACTACCTTATCTCCACTGATCCAACAGATTTATCTCGTGAAGGGGAAAGTTACATTGGCAAACTCAGGTGAGAGCAACATTGTATCACACCTACTCTTTCTGATATTTTTTATTCCTGTAATTTCAGAGGAATCTGTATCTTCTTTACATTGAACATGTACTGATTGTGTACTCTCAAGAAAAAAAAAGTTAATAGAAAATCTAAGTCCCTTCCTTATTTTAATGAGAAATCTTTGAAACAGTGGTGAACATTTGGAGAACAGACAAATGGGCTTCCATTCTGTTCCATACCTGTACTAGATTTGTATTTGTGTGGGGATCAAAAATATAGATCATTAATGGTAACTTCTTCCTCTTGATTCTAGATCCAACCTCATGGGGACCAAGTTTACAGTTTATGACCATGGTGTCAGCCCGACCAAGGCCCAAGGTCTGGTAGAAAAGACTTATATCCGGCAGGAGCTGGCAGCCATCTGTTACGTACGTGCCATCCTCATAATACGTCTTTTCCTGAGTCTTTTTCCTAATTTCCTGGGTGTCCTGCTGGCACTTTAAACGTAACCAACACCGAACTCACACTCTTCCCTCCCAAGCTTGTTTCTATTTCTGTGACCCTCCTTTTCTGTTGCTGGTTGCATTTTTCTCTGTATATTCAAGTTTTAATTATTACAAACTGCCAAGTTTGGTTCTGGCCAGAGGTTACAACAAAGCAGACTGATCTCTTTTTTTTTTTTTTTTTTTTTTAAGATTTTTAAAATTTATTTGAGAGAGAGCATGAGCTTGGAGAAGGGTAGAGGGAGAGAGAAGGAGAGAAGTGGGCTCCCTGCTCACCATGTGGGGCTCAATCCCAGGACTCTGGGATCATGACCTGAGCTGAAGGCAGATGCTTAATTGACTGAGCCACCCAGGAGCACCCCCCCCTTTTAATTGAGGTGTAATTGGCATTTCAGTTTCAGATGTACAATGTAACGATTTTATTTTTTAATTAAAAAATATTATTTATTTTAATGTTTTAAAAAAGATTTTATTTATTTATTTATTTATTTTTAAATGATTTTCTTTATTTATTTGACAGAGAGAGAAATCACAAGTAGGCAGAGAGGCAGGCAGACAGAGAAGGGGAAGCTGGCTCGCCACTGAGCAGAGAGCCCGATGTCGGGCTCGATCCCAGGACCCTGGGATCATGACCTGAGCCGAAGGCAGAGGCTTTAACCCACTGAGCCACCCAGGCACCCCGATTTTATGTATTTATTTAGTTGACACAGAGAGAGAGAGAGCATGCACAAGCAGGGGGAGCGGCAGGCAGAGGGAGAGGGAGAAGCAGAGCCCAATCCTAGGACCCCAGGATCATGACCTGAACCAAAGGCAGACGCTTAACCAACTGAGTCACCCAGACGCCCCCAGATTTACTTACTTATTTGAGCAGGAGAGCGTGTGCATATGTGCATGTGCACACGTGAGTGGGGTGAGGGGCAGAGGGAGAGAATCCCCAAGGAGACTCTGTGCTTAGTCGGAGCCCGATGCTAGGCTCCATCTCAGGACCCGTGACATCATGACCTGAGCCAAAACCAAAAGTTAACCAAACTTAACCAACTGAGTCACCTCGGTGTTCTAATGAAATAACTTTATATATGTATGTATTGCAAAATGATTATCCCAGTCAGTCTAGTTAATATCCATCAGCATACATGGTTATACTTTTTTTCTTGTGATGAGAACTTTTAAGATATACTCTCTTAGCAACTCTCCTATATATAGTACAATATCATTATTATTTTTATTTGCATAGCTGACACACAGTGTTACATTAGTTTCAGGTATATGGCTTAGGGATTTGACAGGTTTATCCATTATGCTGTGTTAATAGGGGGAATAGCTACTATCTGACTGTATTCCTTATGCTGACATGGGCATTTGAATTTCTTACCTCCTGGTATAGGCCCTATGTAATTTAATTTAATTTAAGCTAATGTAAATTAAGCTATAATTCTCACTGTAGATCATATAATGCCATGCCCTCATTGGGAAATACATATTTATTAATGATGACAAAATTGGGCAGTTTGCTCATAATTGTCTCAGATTTCACTTTTAAGACTAAAGAATAGGGCCACCTGGGTGGCTCAGTGGGTTAAGCCTCTGCCTTCGGCTCAGTTCATGATCTCAGGGTCCTGGGATCGAGCCACGCATCGGGCTCTCTGCTCTGCAGGGAACCTGCTTCCCCACCTCTCTCTGCCTGCCTCTCTGCCTACTTGTGATCTCTGTCAAATAAATAAATAAAATCTTTTAAAAAATTAAAAAATAAAAAAAGACTAAAGAATAAGAATAAAGTTTCAAGCCAGTAGTATCTCTTAAATTCAAGTGTTCACATTAGGTGTAAAAGGAGGTAGCGTATTACTTTTCTTTTCTTTTTTTTTTTTTAATTTTTTTTTTAAGATTTTATTTATTTATTTGACAGACAGAGATTACAAGTAGGCAGAGAGGCAGGCAGAGAGAGAGGAGGAAGCAGGCTCCCCACTGAGCAGAGAGCCCGATGTGGGGCTTGATCCCAGGACTCGGAGATCATGACCTGAGCCAAAGGTAGAGGCTTTAACCCACTGAGCCACCCAGGCGCCCCTACTTTTCTTTTTTTGATTCCCTATCTCTCTTCGTTTACCTAAAGAAATCAAATTGTTTTTGACGTCATTATTGGATATTTTACATGCCCAAGAAAATCTTGTGTTAAGAATGTGGTCTCTTTGTTAGAACAAGAGCTTGGTTTTGTGACTATTACATGCCTGCATTGATGAGTGTTTTACTCCATTTTGCATTAAATCTGTACACTGTTTCCTGTACAGGAAAAAAAAAAAAAAAGAATGTGGTCTCTTTTCCTTTCTGTTCCTAAGTCCCTGCCTTATTCTCCTATCTTCCAGGAAACAAATGTACTTGGATTTAAAGGTCCTAGGAAAATGTCTGTGATTATTCCAGGGATGAATATGAATCATGAACGGATCCCATTTCGGCCACGAAATGTAAGTAAGAACAGATTTAATCAGCAAGGGAGTCTGAAGGACAAAATTAGAGTACGAACAAGATCAATACGAAAAAAGTATTGATTCTCGGAGAACCCCCAAGTTTGAGTAGGGCTCGTACCCTTCTTTAGGAGAGAGATCACTCCGGAGCGGCAGGGTAAGTACAATTGCAGAGTATTTGCTAAAGTGGTTGATCCGAAATCGCTTCGCCTGCAAAGAGAAATGCTAGATAATCCATCAGAATTTAAAAATCTGCTTCACTTTTGGCTTTCTTTGTTTCTGCTGTACCCTTTCTGAAACGGAGAAAATACTCCCCTTTTCCACCTTCTACCTCACAGAGTTGAGAGCGAATGATTTCCTATGGTTCTCAGGACTAAGCAGTGATTCTCTCTTCAAACAGGACCACGAGAGCTTGCTTTCCAAATGGCAAAACAAAACCATGGAGAACTTGATTGAACTGCACAACAAGGCCCCAGTCTGGAACGATGACACGCAGTCCTACGTCCTGAACTTCCATGGCCGTGTCACTCAGGCATCAGTGAAGAACTTTCAGATAGTCCACGAGAATGACCGTAAGCCTGCAGGAAGGGTTGGGCGGGAGTAGGAGGAAAGGTGTTCTTACACAGCGGGGAAATGAGCGCTTCCTATCATTGACGGGAAGTTCTGTTCAGGGGAGAATTATTTAAGAAAGAAATGGTTTCTTTGGAAAGACTAAAGTGCAGTTTTATTTATATATATTTTTAGAAAACTTATTTATTTATTGGGGGGGCAGAGGGAGAGAATCCCAAGTGGTATCATGACCTGAGCTGAAATCAAGAGTCAGATGCTCAACCTGCTGAGCCACCACCCAGGCGCCCCTAAAGTTTTATTTTTGTATTTATTTTTAAAATTTTTAAAAAGGATTTTATTTATTTGACAGATAGAGACACAGCGAGAGAGGGAACACAAGCAGGGGGAGTGGGAGAGGGGGAAGCAGGCTTCCTGCTGAGCAGGGAGCCTGATGTGGGCGGGGCTTGATCCCAGGACCCTGGGACCATGACCTGAACCAAAGACAGACACTTAATGACTGAGCCTCCCAGGTGGTCCTAAAGTGGCAGTTTTAAAGTGAAACTTCTGAGCCCCTGTTTGGGAATCAGATGCAATGGCTCTCAGTAAAGCTTCCTCGGCACCTCTAGCCCTTGGAGCTTGTGCTGTTCCCTCCTGGCCCTCTCATGCTAGTCCAGGAGTCATCTCCTGCTCCCTGAGAGGAATAGTAATGGAAACTTGGCTGCTGGTTAGCAGACGCTCACTCTTGTCCATTGCCTCTTGCCATCCTTCTCAAGGTTTCCCATTGTAAAGGGACCCAGTGACCTATTTGCAGGACTTTTCTCTGTATCGTCAGTAGGCTTTCCCCCAGTACAGCCCCATTCTCTTCTAACGTCCTAATTTCTTTCGTTTTTTTTTCTAGCTGACTACATAGTCATGCAGTTTGGACGCGTGGCAGATGACGTGTTCACCCTGGACTACAACTACCCGCTGTGTGCACTTCAAGCCTTTGCCATTGGGCTTTCTAGCTTTGACAGCAAGCTGGCCTGTGAATGAGCAAACAGCAGGCACCTAGCTTTCTCACTCAGAGCTTTCAGGAGCCGATACTTGCCTCCTTTGCTTTTGCCCCAGGCCATGAAGAGCACCAGCCCGCCCCTTTGGGAGTAATCCCCGAATGTATGTATATGTGTCTGCGTGCGTGTGTATATGTGTATATGTGTATATGCACACACGCACATATGTACACATTCAACTTCTCTGGGCTCCACAGACCCAGTCAGGGGTCACGGCTTCACCTGGGTGAGGGGTGGTTCAGAGCACAGAAGGTTCCTGTCCAGAGCACATTGGTAACTCCCGAGGGGACTGGCCAGCACATTCTGTGCCTTTGCGGTCAGATTTCCTACGCTTGGGAACTTGCAGCTAGAATCAGGTTCTAATGATTACTTCCCGGGGTCTTTTTTTTGGGAAGACCTTTCCAGAGTGGGATAGTTCCCTAAATTGCCTTTAGTCTTCAGGTCTGCAGACTTTTTCTGTAAACGGCCAGAGAGTCCCTTACAGCTGCTCAGCCACGGCCAGTTCAGAAACCAGGGAGTGTGGCTGTGTTCCACTGAAACTTGGTTTACAAAAATGGGCAGCGCGCCAGATCTGGGATATTGCTGTAAGTGATGGGCCTCGGCATCTTCCAGAAAGAGCCCGTGGCTGTGACATCATATGAGTGGAACATGGATATCTCTTTGGACCCACCGACTGGGTCCAAAAGGTACTCGGCTTCATCCACGTAGATTTTACATTGTTTTTTATTATTTTTTTTTCTAATTTTTTTTAAGTAAGCTTAAACTCACGACCCTGAGATCCGAAGTTACAAGCTCTATGGACGGATTCAGCCAGGTACCCCTCAAAATTTTTTTATTTTATTTTTTCCAAGTAAGCTTTATAGCCAACATGGGGCTTTTTAAAATTTTTACTTTTATTTCACTTTTTTTTTTTTTTTTTTTTAAGTAAGCTTTGCTTTTAGCTTGTTTTGGTGATGATGGCTTCTAGAGCTTCGTTTACCTTCAGAACTGGGAAAACCCCACATCAGTGGTCATTTTGAGTGCACATAGGTAGCTTCATTCTGCTGTCCTACCCGAAGTACCCATGGGGGAGGACCACATCAGCCACTTTAGCACCCCACGCGGAGAACTTCACGCTCACTTGGAAACAAATCTAGTGTTGTATCGTCTTTATCAGAGCAAGCGTGGTGTTAGAGCGAGCTTGCCTTCCTCCTGGGGCTTGGACGGTACTGATGTCACAGTCCCCCGCTGCCCCCCTTCCCTCGGAGCAGGTTGGCTGGCAGCCATCTCAGTCAAAGCGGCTCTGGCCAAATTTCTGATTAGTGATATGAGAAATGTATTGTCTTAATTTCAGTTTAGGCAGACAGCATAAACTCTGGGGGTGACTTAGTCTCATGAAGACTGAGAGTAATTCGACAGTTGCCTTCATCTTCCATCCAGGAGTGCCTCCTACAGCCATAGGGCTGTGGAGCCATTAGTATAGAGGGACACACACGCCCATAGACCATGTAAGAGGTAAGAACATTATGTATGGAAACTTACCACTGACCAGCTAGCTGACCGAGCTCTGCGGACCTTGTTAGGCAGAGCTCTGGGCCTTTCTTCTTAACACAAATATTATCAGTCCCCTAAAGCCTGGCTCATTGGTACAGATCATGCTCCTGTCACTTTTCCTCACAGATCATAAGAGTTTTGCCAAGTCTTTCAGATTATTAGTACCTCCCAACAAATCCTAGGACTCTGCTTGCCACCAGCTCACCGGTCTCAGAATGCATCTGACTCCAGACAATCCAAGAGCTTTGTGAGTTCTACGTTCAGCATTGTTCTGTCCCCAAGCCTTTGTGCGCCTGAGCTTTTTGCCAGCATGGGGCAAGGAATCAGCTGCTGTTGTTCCATTATGTTTCCCTTCCGTGGACTTCCTTTTTGTCCCTGCTTCCTGTCGTTCCTTGCTCCACATCGAATAGCAAGAAGGAAAGAGAGCTGGGAGATGAAAAGACTCTTTGCTCGTCCCCCACGGGCGAGGCCTATCTGTTGTTTTGACGTGATTGGTTTCCATCTCAGGCGCGCTTCCTATCAAGTGCCTCATTCATAGAAGTGCCCTAACGCCCGGCAGACCTCTGGCACCACCGTCCTGACGTACTGTCTGATCCGCCCTTGTTGAAAACGGAAAGCTGTTCACTTCTCTCCAGTTGCAGTAGATGACCGCGTCTGGGGATAGGGAGACTGACGGGATGACTGGATCTAATCCTGCTTCCTCCTGCTCTGTCTGGCTCTAAGACATCCATCCATACCCCAGCTTCAGGTACTCTCTGCTTGAGTGTGCAGGCGATTGGTTTTACAGAAATCATATTTATACCTTTTGTATGCTACAGAAATAAAAAATAATTTATATAAAAATGTGAATGTCACCAGTCTTCTGTGCAAAGTCCCATCCCTTACGGAGTTCCCATTCTGGAATGTTCCGGAATAACCATTTTCATCCTGTGAATCAGGATTTTGTCATCCCAGGATAGCAGGAGTATGCAGACTCAGAAGTCTGTCTCATCATGTTCGTGACACCAGGGATTTTCTAGATAGATGATGGAGCCAAGAACTGAGCAAAGGGAGGGGGCCACAGAAGGGTGGGGTTTATACTGTTCTAGATACCTGCACCCGTCAGCCTCCTGGATCTTCTTTGTTGGCATCGGTTACTGATTCAATATCTACAACTGAAGTAGACCCTGTCTCTTACCTCTGAGCATTCACATTTCAGAGCTACCTTACAGAGACAAGTAGAAAAAAAAATTATGTGTTCACAAATTTTTACTAGGCCTTCCTGCTCTTATCAGTGTCGCAGTGAAAATGAGTCACATGGAAGGAAGCAGGAAGAGCGTAAAAGTCAGGATGAGAGCTGGAGTCAGAGTTAAATTCTTACGGCTTGGTTTTTCTTTTTCACATGGTTCTTTTTGGCTATGGTGCACGGCTGGCTAAATGGATAATTTATGACACAATTCTTTGTATACTTTTCAGTGACCAGGAGTAATATCAATGCTTCAGTGGTCATTGACGTGAAAGATATCAGCAAGTGGTTTTTAAAAATCTAAAACAGGCCTACAAAAGGTTCTTTTTGATCAGAAGTTTAGCAGATCACACAGCTAGCATCAATCCAGTTCCTTTAAACAACATTATAGGTACAGAAATAAAGCAACAGTTTGAGCCAAAACCCAGGGTTTGACCCCCTTTATGCTGGTGATTTGCCATGTGCCTCTTTCCTCCTCTCTATATTGAGAGGTCTTGAACTATATGATCTTCAATTCTTGCACACAGTTCTCCCCACTCATGCTGACAACAATGTGGAATTCCTCTACTTGCATTTGGAACCGAACTCTCTGGTTATCTTCTGGACAGCATCATGCCGTCCATAGCTGAAGATATTGCTGGCAGGGGTGCCAGAGATCCTAGGAAAGGATCACTCAGACACGAGGGAACTGGAGAGGGCAGATTCTGAGTGTCTTTGGTGGGGGATTCTGGAATGCCAGGAGTGCACAGTGTGGGAGAGTACTCACGCCACATGCTTAATGGCTGCTTCCTTCCAGTCTGTAGCCTGTTTTAATCTTCCCCATGCGAACCTCAGCTAGGGGCTTGCCAAGGACTGGCCAGATCCCGTCCCACCCCTCAGACACATTTCTTGACCACTTGATCGTTTTGCCTTCTCTCCCCACTTTGATTGCCTAGTTGTCATAGTCGATATATGTTTCTTAAAAGTCTCACAGACTCTTATTTGCAAAAAGCCAGGGATCCCGCAATAAATGAAGGATTTGCCATTGGTCCTCAGAATTTAGGGAAGCCTTTATTAAAGCACACATGGATTCGTCGCGCCACCTACCAACCAAGGATGAGCATTACAAGTGCATTAAAATGAAAAGCGCAGGTTCTGTAAACCAGAGGAGGAAGTCACAAAGGGCTCAGTGACTTCAACAACTGGACCAGGTTATCACATTTTTACAAAGCACCCTTGTGCTTTGGTGTGACTCTCCTGAAGGTCCTAGAATAGTAATATTTCTGGAGTTTGGAAGCCAGTAGAGGTATTCCAGGTAAAATGCTGGCATTTGGTATAGGATTGTGGCAAATGCCAGTATCACTTGTATTAACATCCTTTTATTTTTTTTTTTTTTTTTTTTTTTTAAAGATTTTGTTTATTTATTTATTTGACAGACAGAGATCACAAGTAGGCAGAGAGGCAGGCAGAGAGAGAGAGGAGGAAGCAGGCTCCCTGCTGAGCAGAGAGCCCGATATGGGGCTCGATCCCAGGACCCTGGGATCATGACCTGAGCCGAAGGCAGAGGCTTTAACCCACTGAGCCACCCAGGTGCCCCTTAACATCCTTTTAAAATGGAGCAACATGGGTGCCTGGGTGGCTCAGTCGTTAAGCATCTGCCTTCAGCTCAGGTCATGATCCCAGAGTCCACATGGGCTCCCCGATCAGCGGGAAGCCTGCTTCTCCCTCTCCACTCCCCCTGCTTGTGTTCCCTCTCTCGCTATGTCTCTCTGTGTCAAATAAATAAATAAGACCTTTTTAAAAAAATGGAGCAACACGTTTTAGGTGACACTTTTAGCCCTTCAGTTATAGAAAATGGTTTATATGCACTCATAAAGAAATTCTAGATGGTTTTCCAGGGGCTATGAGAGGAAAGAAAAACAGAATAGTTTAACTATTCTGTTAAACTAAACATTCAGGTTCTAGTCTCAGCCCTGACCCTACCTCACATTCCTTACTTTGTACCCATCTCTCTGTTTCTACATGAAGGAACAGCCTAGGTAAAAAATGCCCCTGATGTTATGGAAACTTCAGAAATATTTCAAATGTGAAATGGGCCTCCATGATTTTTTCTGGCTCTGCTTGGTCTTTTGGTCCATCAGGCCCAAGCTCCTTTCATGAGGTTCTGGAGCTATGGCCCAAGAGTCTGGAGGGCAAGAAAAGAGAGAAGGCCCCAGGAAGCTGGTGGGGGCCAAGGTGGGAGTGGGAGTTGGAGTTTTCCTGGTCTATTACCACCACTTATTACACATTTTGGTTTAATATGGTGGTTCTCAAGCCTCAGAGTTTTAACATCTAGTTAAGTACTATCTACCCAGATTTTGTCCCTTATTATGATTTCCAAAGATTCAAAAAGAATCCAGTGGTTCTTTTTTGTAATCCGGGGGCAGGAAGGCTAAAGGGGAAGAACGACCTGAGAGAAGAGTGGCAGGCAGAGGAGGGCTAGGAATTAGATTGAAATTTTAAAAATGGGGCAAATATGTAATTTCTAGGGTATAAATGCACATGAGGACAAACTACATCCATATAGAAATTTGACCTTAAAAAATATGTCCTCTCTTTGCCTCGAGTCAATTTTATGCTATTCTGTATCAGATATACAGAGATACAAATTCTAAATGTTAATAATTTCATATGGTCTAAAAGAAATTTTAGGGGGCGCCTGGGTGGCTCAGTTGGCTAAGTGTCTGCCTTTGGCTCAGGTCATGATCTTGGGATCCTGGGATCGAGCCCCACATCGGGCTCTCTGCTCAGTGGGGCATCCACTCTCCTTCTGGTTCTCCCTCTCTCTCAAATAAATAAAACCTTAAAAAAAAACTTTAAAAAAACTACAAT